ATATCGTGGACCGTCTTCGAACTTGACCTGCCTGCAGACAAAAGACAGATCTATGCAAAAGTTTAGCTTCCTAACTTAATTCGTTTTGACTGTAGCGCGATGGCAACAGATGGACGGATCGTCTAAGAATTTTACGCTGATCAAGAATATATATATATAATTATTATTTCGATGAATTACAAACGGAATGACGAAGGTATAAAAATTCTTCATGGTCGCTTCTTAAAAATGTCGTAGGGTCGATGATACATGTTTCCTGTCAAAGTAATTGTCAAAGTGTCAAATACCATATTAAAAAGAAATAAATAGGCTCTGCCAGCAATCTTCTGTCACATAAGACAGAGTTCATTACAAACTCTACATATACATAACTAAATTTATGCGATTCTCCTGAAAAATATGGCTAGCTACAATCATCAGAATACCGAATAAAGGGAAGTACTGAAACATGGGGGCTATAACAAAAGATGAACCCATACATGCAATGATCTTCCACAGGAGGTAGAACCCATTATGAACCCTAAGTTCGGGGTGAGGTACAGTTATATGGGGCTATAAGAAGGCGTTGACCATTATAGACAATGTTCTGTGTATATATATATATATATATATATATATATATATATATATATATTGCTGACTTTAATATTTCATTAGAAAAAAAACGAACTTTGGAAGCTTTGTCCTGTGATTTCTTGCCTAAAAATAAGAAAATAAAAAAATTTAATTGACAGCATAGTTCGCAGATATTAAAATTATTAAATAAACTTTAAGTTCGACCGAGCCAAAATTTTAACACAACCCAAAATGAGGTAAAGACAACTTTGTAACTTAAGAAATTGTGATTCAATAGTCGAACGAGATCCATATTAAATCGCAAAGTGCCAGTGAAATCTGTCATAAACTGAGCGGAATAGTTATATAGGTATAAACATAATGAGAAGTTACGAAGACAATTTTCTACTACAGAGGTTGTTAGTTATACCATGTAGGGTCTAACGCAAATACTTCGAGAAGAAAATCGAAATAACAATGTTAATATGAACTCTATGCTATGATAGTGGGTATAAAAATGTGTATTATGTCTAAAAATGGTATTTATAGATCTGTTTAAAAGAAAATATGTATAGATCGTAATAAGTTTGTTTTAATTCATTGTTTTTATAATTTTTTGTTTTGATTTCTGATTCTGATTTCACTGGCTAAAATGCAATTCGTTCAAATATTTAATACCGATACTCTTTTTAGAGGTTAGCTCAATCTCATGGTAAAGGTTATAGCGTCTTCTCAGAACAAATAGAAATAATAAGTCTTACTTATACACAGAAAAAAAAAGCCACACCGAAAATTTTGATTAAAAGCTTCATCACCATTCGACAAAAAGATGTCGATAAAATATTTCAAACGTAGTGGGAAATCTTTATCGAACACCAACAATTTGCAAAAAAGGTCAGCAACAAACAAGTTTGACCAAAAAGTTTATTAAATTTGTTAGACCATTTTTATACCCTCCACCATACTATGGAGGGTATATTAATTTTGTCATTCCGTTTGTAACTCCTCGAAATATTCATGTCAGACCCAACAAAGTATATATATTCTTGATCAGCGTAAAATTCTAAGACGATTTAGCGATGTCCGTCTGTCTGTCTGTGTGTCTGTCTGTCTGTCTGTCCGTCTGTCTGTCTGTCTGTTGTAATCACGCTATCTTTCGAACAAATTGAGATAGAAGGCTAAAATTTTGCACACATGTATTTTTTCCCAGTAGGCAGGTTAAGTTCGTAAATGGGCCATGTAGGTCCAAGTTATCATATAGCCCCCATATAACGGTACCTCCCGATATTCGGTATTTTGATTATTTTAGCGACATTATTCACCGGAATTATTTCAAATTTGGCATTTGAAGTTTGTAATGGATGCTACAGCCTAAGACAGAAAATTATGTGTGCAGGTCCACGTCTTCCTGTAGCCCCCATATAACGGTACCCCCCGATATTCGGTTTTTTGATGATTTTAGCGACATTGTTTACCGGAATCGTTTCAAATTTGGTATTTGAAGTTCGTAATAGATACTACATCCAAAATCAAAAAACGAGCCATGTAGGTCCACGTCTTCTTATAGCCCCCATATAACGGTACCCCCTGATATTCGGTATTTTGATGATTTTAGCGACATTGTTTACCGGAATCGTTTCAAATTTGGTATTTGAAGTTCGTAATGGATACTTCATCCAAAGTCAAAGAATGAGCCATGTAGGTCCACGTCTTCATATAGCCCCCATATAACGGTACCCCCCGATATTCGGTATTTTAATGATTTTAGCGACGTTATTTACAGGGATTGTTTCAAATTTCGTATGTGAAGTTCGTAATGGATACTTCAGCCCATGCCAGAAAATTGTCTGCGCAGGTCCACGTCTTCGTATAGCCCCCATATAACGGTACCCCCCATATTCGGTATTTTGACGATTTTAGCTACATTATAAACAGATTTTTCTTCAAGTTTCGCAATTAAATATTGTAATAATTTATGACAAAAGTTGCCTATGCAGGCCCACGTCGTCGTATAAGCATTCGGTATTTTTAAGATTTTAACAGAATTTTTAACGGGTTTTATTTTTTGGAAATTGCCAAATTTGTACCAAATGGTGGAGGGTATTAAAAGTTCGGCCCGGCCGAACTTACAGCTTTTTTACTTGTTAATATTATTTTTTGTAATATGCCATATTATTGTTTATTACTTTATTACAAAATACTTTGTTAAATTGTTTGTAAAAATTGATAGCAAACTTAGTTTTTTTTTTTTTGCGTATAGAGACACACATTTAGTTTAAATCCGTTAAAATACTGAGAATTGGCAGGTATTTTTTGTGGGAGAGCTGTAATATTATGTGCCAACATCGACACTTGCTGTTAAAGAACTTCTTTGTTGTATTTATTACAAGCAATTTTATTAGAACATATTGCAAAAATCTAATATCTAATAAATCTAGTAAATTTGAACAAAAATCGATATGTATGTGTGTACATACATCTCACCAATAACATATGTATGTATGTACGTAAATATACAAGTGTGAAAAAATTAAATACATGACCATCAACAGCGGAAAAAAATTGGATACAATCATAATCGAATGTCAAAGACCAACCAATATATACAAGAAATAAATATTCGCTTCTGCCTGCAAATCACCAAAAGAAACAAATTCTTACGTTCGCAAAAAAACCACGCATACATGCTCTCTGAAATAACTCCTCGTCCCGCCGATACATCAGCACCAGAAACAAATTCTAACGTTCGCAAAGAAAAAAATGCCAACGCATAAATGTTCTCTGAAATAACTCCTCTCATGAATAATTCCTCGCCCCCGCCGTTACGTTACCACCATTCAGAAATGCTAATGCTCGCCAGAAAAAGAATTCATCCCTACAGCAATTAACAACACAAGTTTATTCCCGTTTCTATGCAAAGAAAAAGAAACTCATCCCAACAACAATTAGCAACACACCTATTTTCCCGCTTCCCCTCTCAACAAAACAACCTTGAGAAATATGCAATGCATGAAATGATCTTTTTCTGATGAGCATTAGAATTTCTGAATGGTGGTAACGTACCGGCGGGGGCGAGGAATTATTCATGAGAGGAGTTATTCCAGAGAACAGTTATGCGTTGGGATTTTTATACCCTCCACCATACTATGGAGGGTATATTAATTTTGTCATTCCGTTTGTAACTCCTCGAAATACTCACGTCAGACCCAACAAAGTATATATATTCTTGATCAGCGTAAAATTCTAAGACGATTTAGCCATGTCCGTCTGTCTGTCTGTGTGTCTGTCTGTCTGTCTGTCTGTCCGTCTGTCTGTCTGTTGTAATCACGCTATCTTTCGAACAAATTGAGATAGAAGGCTAAAATTTTGCACACATGTATATTTTGCCAGTAGGCAGGTTAAGTTCGTAAATGGGTCATGTAGGTCCAAGTTTTCGTATAACCCCCATATAACGGTACCTCTCGATATTCGGTATTTTGATGATTTTAGCGACATTATTCACCGGAATTGTTTCAAATTTGGCATTTGAAGTTCGTAATAGATACTGCAGCAGAAAACAGAAAATGGGCCATGTAGGTCTACGTCTTCGTATAGCCCCCATATAACGGTACCCCCCGATATTCGGTATTTTGATGATTTTAGCGACATTATTTAACGGAACCGTTCCAAATTTGGTATTTGAAGTTCGTAATAGATACTGCAGCAGAAAACAGAAAATGGGCCATGTAGGTCCACGTCTTCGTATAGCCCCCATATACCGTACCCCCCGATATTCGGTATTTTGATGATTTTAGCAACATTATTTAACGGAACCGTTCCAAATTTGGTATTTGAAGTTCGTAATAGATACTGCAGCAGAAAACAGAAAATGGACCATGTAGGTCCACGTCTTCGTATAGGCCTCATATACCGTAACCCCCGATATTCGGTATTTTGATGATTTTAGCGACATTATTTACCGGGATTGTTTTAAATTTCGCATTTGAAGTTCGTAATGGATACTTCAGCCCATGCCAGAAAATTGTCTGTGCAGGTCCACGTCTTCGTATAGCCCCCATATAACGGTACCCCCTATATTCGGTATTTTGATGATTTTAGCTACATTATAAACAAATTTTTCTTCAAGTTTCGCATTTAAATGTTGTAATAACTTATGACAAAAGTTGCCTATGCAGGTATACGTCGTCGTATAGACATTCGGTATTTTTAAGATTTTAACAGAATTTTTAAAGGATTTTTTTTATTTTATTTATTTATTTATTTTATTTTTTTTTGGAAATTGCCAAATTTGTACCAAATGGTGGAGGGTATTAAAAGTTCGGCCCGGCCGAACTTACAGCTTTTTTACTTGTTTTCTTTGCGAACGTTAGAATTTGTTTCTGGTGCTGATGTATCGGCGGGCCGAGGAGTTATTTCAGAGAGCATGCATGCGTTATTTTTTTTTCTTTGCGAACGTTAGAATTAGTTTCTGGTGCTGATATATCGGCGGGACGAGGAGTTATTTAAGAGAGGAAGCAAGGAGTTATTGCGTTGGAAGATGTTGTTGTTTTTAATTCGTATGTATTTCTTGTTGTTTGTTGAAATCTTACGGTGTTTGATTTGATGATGTTGTATTTTGGTAAATGCATTCAGTGTGCTTTAGACTTTCGTCGCGTTAAGTGTGCTAAAAAAGTGAATAGTGATTTTTAAAAAGTGAAAAAAAGTTCCTGTGAATGCGTAAAAATGGAAAATAATGTAAGTACAGTAAAATGCCCTTTCTGTGAGGAAATATTTCCAATATCGGACAGTCTTTTTACTCACATTAAAACCCATTACTGTCCGGCTGGAACAACTTTTATGTGTCATTTTAATGAGTGTTTTTTAACCTTTGGTTCAAAGGGGAGTTATAAAAGGCATGTTCTTAGACATGGACGCAGTAGTAAGAAGACAGAGTATTATAATACGGGAAACATTGTTGAAGCCGAGTCCAACATCGAAGAGGTAAATGTGAAGGGAATTGAAATAGAAAGTATGAATGAGTGTATTAGCGGAAGCGAAAGGAGTTACAAGGAAAACTTGGGTGAAATCCGCCGTTCAATTAGTTTATTTCTGATTCGGTTGCATTCCTTTAATAATATTTCTCGCTCAAACATAATTTCTATTCAAAAGTTAATTGATGAATTCTTATTAGATCCACTTATCAAGTTTATTGAACTTAGTCTTCAAAATGCCGGTGTAAGTAAAGATATAGTACCTGCAATGTTTGATGATGTTAAAGACATTTTTAAGGGAGTTAATTCAGAGCATAAACTCACTAAAGTGTCAAAAGATATGGGTTTGCTTGCAGAGACAACATTTTTCAATATCGAAAATGATCCGAAATCAAAAGCCATGATAATGCCAATAGATTTTCAATTTAGAAAATTTTTTGAAAAAGATAACTTTCTTGAAGATGTTTTAACATACATTAAACATACTGAAAATAAACAAAAAATTGAAAATTTTGTGCAGGGTGAGTTATGGAAGCAAAAAAAAATATGTACCCCAAAGAGACTCTAGTTCCATATTTTTTGTACCTGGACGATTTCGGTATTAACAATTCTCTAGGTTCGAAATCGACTAAAAATTCTGTTTGTAACTTCTATTACAGTTTCCCTTGCATTCCAAGTAAATCCTCAAACATTAATGAAGTATTTTTGGCTGCATCAGTGCTTACAGCCGATATTAAAAAATACGGCGGTAGCTGTTATACTTTAATTGTACAAAAAATTTCATCACTAGAAACTGAGGGCATAGAAATAAATACAAAAAATGGGACAGTAAAAGTCCATTTCATACTAGGCTTAGTTTTAGGAGATAATTTAGGTTTAAACATTTCATTAGGTTTTCAAAAATCATTTTCGGCAAAAAAATTTTGCCGATTTTGTTTAATGAATAAAACAGAATCACAGAAGGCAGTCGAAGAAAATCCTGCTGTAATGAGAAATAGGAGAAATTATGCTTTGTCATTTGAGAGAAATGAAATCTCAGAGTCGGGTATATCAGCATACTGCAATTTAAATGATATTCCAACATTTCACGCCACAGAAAATTATTATGTAGACATCATGCATGACATTTTCGAGGGGATAGCCCACCTGATTTTATGCAAATCATTGATTTATTTCATAAAAACAATGCAATATGTGAGCATTGACCAAATTAATTTAAGGCTGGAATCATTCTCTTACTGTACAAATGATAAGGGCAATGAAAAGATAAAAATATCACTGAAGGAAATAGAAAGTGGTAAGTTGAAATTATCAGCAAGACAGATGATGTCATTTTGTTACTATTTCCCTATGTTAATTGGGGAGCATATACCCCAAAACGATGTTGTTTATACATATGTTCTAAATTTCTTGAGATTGGTAGATGAACTTTTATGCTTTCATATATACGAAAACCTTATATCAAATATAAAAACAGATATAGAAGTAGTTAATAAAGAATTTGTGACGTTATTTAAGTGCCCACTGACTCCTAAATTTCATATATTTACTCACTATCCTACCATTTTAAAAAAATCTGGACCTTTGCGAAACATCTGGAATTTTAAATATGAAGGAAAGCACAGAGAATTCAAAATTTACTCACATATTATTACATCTCGCAAAAATATTCCAAAATCGTTTTCTTTTAAGCATCAAATTAGTGAAAATAGTGTTTTCAGAAAAAGGATTTTTGACAAAAATATTGAAAAAAACATATTACATAAATTAAAATACGACACATTTAATTTGTTTGCTGAAGCAGTAATATTGGGCTATAAGTACGACAATTCGTCATTTGTGTGTACAATAAAAGGAGAAATATTCGCAATAGTTTGTATAATTGAAACCAGCAATGACGTTTTTGTGTACTGCAAAAAAACTCACACTGTCTACGACCCCCATTTTGGGGCGTTCCGATTTCTAGAATATATTGACAATTTCTTAATTTTACACATAAATGACATAACGGGTCCCCCAACAAATATATCAACAACAGCTACTAACAGGGAATATATTAAACCTAAAGAATTTTATTATATTATTCCATAGAAGTTGAAAACTTCTACAGCCGATGACAACATTGAAAATTTATTAAAAATATGGAAGCTGGAACACTTACAGAACCACTTTGTCGGTAGGTAACTCTAATTCTTAGTTATATTTCATGAACTAATTCTATTTATGTACTATTTCTTTGCATTTCAGAACACCGTATTACTCATGAAGTGTTAAGCATATTGACACCACGGCATATAGAAATATTATTTCAGGGATTGGCAGTAGGAGATATGGCGATATTTCAAAAGAATTTAAAACAGTGTCAACTAGAATCCAACAATGCAGAAAAAACCCCTAAAACAAATACCACTTTGGAATTCAGTGATTGTGGTTTAGTCAAAAAACCAGTTCCACCAGTAAAGGATATGCTGATGGATTCACAGAATGGGAGATTGCTTTTAAAGCATTATGCAAAGCATAATCTTTTCAACGAGCAACAGCGCAACTTACTTATAAACACACTCGCTAAGTATATTGAGTCTAAGGGATATCCTTGCTCACTTGCGGATAGTGATGAAATAGAAAATCAAATTTGTGTGCTATTTCCAACGGAGTCGAAGGTAAGTGCTGGATTTTTATGCCAAAATTATAGTCTTTTAAAATAATCTTTAAATTTAATTCCATTTAGGATTATTACACTTCGGGAAAAAGGGGTAGATTGTATAATAAAATATACAATTTAAAACGATACACCAAAAGTCTATCGAAGGAGAATGAACCTATTTGTGGATCTGTAAATAAAACGACCGAAAGCAAAAAATTTGGTAAATACAACTTCATTCATATACGAATATATAAATATTTATATATATATTATTTATTTTTCAATATTTATCATTATTATTTAGTTCCAGAAGCTGAGTCAGATTTCGCTCTCCGTGGTATTCGAAACGAAAATACTACTGCTGACGAATTCGATATTTACTGGAGAAAATGTTCTCAGCTTAGATTTTCCCAAATTGAACATTCAGAGAGCACAAATGACATTTTGAAAATTTGGCCGGAGTACAAAAAGCCTTCTGGAATTAGTATGGTAAGTAAATTGTTTATTTCGATAAAAATTAATTTATGAATATTTTTTTCTCCCAAAGATCGATATAGATTTTTCACTTAAATACCCTAAATCCTGTAATCTTATTTTAAAGTGGCCACTTTACGAGAGGAAAATCTGGCATTTAATATCATCTAAAATTTCATCCAAATTGGTAATAAATATCGATAAATACTTTAAATTTAATTCAAAATTTCATTTCATTTCAGAATCAAAAATTTTTTTAATATTTTGGAATTTGCACCATATTTTTCCACCACAACAAAAGCAAATAACAGACAAAACTGGCGCAAAAATTAAAAGGAAGTACTCCATACCTAACTCACAAAATTCTTTTGCTCTTATTGCCGAAAACAACAAAGAAATGGATTTAAAAGTGGAACTGTTAAAACTGCGCAATACCAATATCCAGCCTCTACTGCTTGTTACGGGAGAACCGCAAAATGTCAAACAAATATACATTTATTTCGATGGAATACGTTTTCCAATTTTAAAAGTTTTAACGGCTGTAGATTTGTTGTTTAAAATATTTTTTGTATTTAATTTAGAATTTCCCGACGAATCTAATATTTTTTACAACTTTATTCAAACCTTTTTCTATGAAATTAAATTTGACAAGAAATGTCCAAAAATCGCTATGATACAAAATGAAATTTTAAATTTAACGTAAAAACTAAAATGTAAATCACACCATTTGTAAGACTTGATTCGTTTTATAACCACTTTTTAATTAATTATATATTTCAATGCAACAATTGAAAGATTTAATTTTTATTGTATGTAATCATTCCATTCCCTTTGTATATAAATATATATTCTTATTCTATGAATTATATAAAAATAAACCCAAAATTGTATGTTCATTAAATACATTACTTCGTTGTTTTTTCTTGTTGTTGTCATACGAGACACATACATAACATATATACATAAATGTGTGTATGTATATATTTTTTGTGTTTGTATTTTACAAAAAAAAAAAAACAACAAAGGGTTTGCCTACATGAACATTTCTTGATCGAATTTTGCTTTCACATTTAACAAACCTGATTGTATATTAGCTAAATTTTTTATCAAATTAAAAAATAAAAATCGACAAACATTTTTGTATATGTGAAAATACTTTTTTAAATTAATAAATGAAAAATTGAAAAAAATAAAATTCAACAACATTTTTAGTTAATATGAGAATTTCTTTATCGAAATATTTTCGAATGACTATTACAATTTTTTTTATCGGCGATTGTAAATATAAACATTATTTTTATCGGCCAAAAATCAATAAAAATTTAATTGGATTTTGGAATTTTTTTATCAAATGGTTACAATTTTTTTTCTGTGTATAAAAAGAACATCTGAATGATTTAACGTGTTCATCGCTTACTCTTAGGTGTTGCATAGATACAATTATGGCTTACCTTTTCTCCGCTGTCTGAAGGCAAATAAAAGGTCAACACAGTTAAGAAGGATATTCCCATACAAGGAATAATAATGTTCACTGTGTAAAACAACGTTTTTCTTCGCATAGTAATATTAAACGTGATATCCAGATATGGTTCATCGCAGCATGTGTAAAACTTTTCGTTCCTGCAAAAGAGACAACTTACATAAAAATTTCGCCTAATAATTTGAAACTTTACTTACCAAATCAAACACATAACATAATGTTTTGTAAACTTGGTAAATAAAGTTTCCAGTTTAAATTTTTATTATCATATTTATTTAATTTCTTAATTTTGTTTGTTGTATGTTAACAGTTATATTTATTAGAAAATATAATATGTGACAAAAACGCGTTATGTTCAGTCGGGTCCACCTTTTAATACCTTCCACCATGAGGTGAGGAAATATTTTGAATCCATTTTCCAGTTAAATCGGTTGGTAGAAAAACAAAATACCGTAAAACCGATGGTATTGATTTTCTGCTACAGTTGTTATTATATATTGTGACTTATGTGTTATATTATGACAGTATTCAGCCACAGAAGACAGATCATATTAAAAACTTTATTTAAATTTGCATTTTTTTAAAATATTTTGTTAAACATGTGGCGAAAATCATCAGAATAGCGAATATGACTGTATCTATGTTAATAATAATATACAACAAGTGGTTTTCCAGCCAAATATTAAGAAGTCATACTACCACGCAAGAATTTCATCACGAATAACTTTTTTTCTGGAACATTCTCACCAAAATACTTTTTTACGCATGTAAATAATAATTTTAACAGCTGTCGGGCGAGTGGCGTAGAAATTACAGCTTTCTGAAGTTGGTTGGAGTTTTTTTATCTCACCCTGTAATTCCTCCCTATATTCGGCACTTAAAAGATTTAAACAACTTTTTCATACAGAATTGTTTAAAAATCGGTATATAGAGTTTGTAATGGATTTCACCTCCTGTGACAGAACATTGTCTATATAGGTCAACGCCTTCTTATTGCCCCATATAACTGTACCTCACCCCGAAATTCGGTAATTAGGGTTCATAATGGGTTCTACCTCCTGTGGAAGATCATTGCATGTATAGGTTCATCTTTTGTTATAGCCCCCATGTTTCAGTATTTCCCTCTATTCGGTATTCTGATGATTGTAGCTAGCCATATTTTTTCAGGAGAATCGCATAAAATTAGTTATGTATATGTAGAGTTTGTAATGAACTCTGTCTTATGTGACAGAAGATTGCTGGCAGAGCCTATTTATTTCTTTAAAATGAACATTTGTTGTTGAGGCAGATCTTTTTTAATATGGTATATATATATATATATATATATATATATATATATATATATATATATATATATATATATATATATATATATATATATATATATATATATATATATTCTTGATCAGCGTAAAATTCTTAGACGATCCGTCCATCTGTTGCCACCGCGCTACAGTCAAAACGAATTAAGTTAGGAAGCTAAAATTTTGCATAGATCTGTCTTTTGTCTGCAGGCAGGTCAAGTTCGAAGACGGTCCACGATATCGTATAGCCCCCATATAACGGTACCCCCCGATATAAGGTATTTTGATGATTTTAGCTACATTTTCTAATAGAATTGTCTGAAATTCCACACAAGGAGTTCCTGCTGGGTACTTTATCCCTTGGAAGAGGATTATCTATATAGATCCACGTATCGTATATCCCCCATATAACGGTACCCCCCGATATTCGGCATTTAGATGATTTTAAACACATTTTTCAATGGAATTATCTGAAAATCGACACAAGGAGTTCTTTTTGAGTACTTCGCCCCCTAGAAGAGATTTGGTTTTGTTATTTTGGTCCACAATATCGTATAACCCCAATATAACGGCACCTTCCAATATAACGGCACCTTCCGATATTCCTTGTCAGTACTTTATCCCCTGGAAGAGAATTGTCTATACAGGTCCACGATTTCGTAGAGCCCCCATATAACGGCACCTTCAGATGTTCGGTATTTTGATGATTTTAACCAAATTTTTAATGAAATTGTCTGATAATGTTCAGAAGGAGTTCTTTGTGAGTACTTTATTCCCTGAAAGAGAATAATCTATATAGGTCCACGAAATCGTATTTCACCATTTAAAGACCCATCCCTATATTCGGTATTTGGATGATTTTAGCCACATTTTCAATGGAATTATCTGAAAATTCTCAAAAAACGTTTCTTGTGAGTACGTTATTCCAAAGAGGAGAATTGTCTTTATAGATCCACTATAGCGTATACCTAATGTGACCATTTATATTTTTCGTCAGAGCGGGACGCCTGCGGAATTTTGTAAAAAAAATTATGCATTTAAAAACAAATTTTATTCAAAAACGGAGAGAATACGTATAAATCTAATTTATGAAATTAATCTTATGTCTAAGTATTTGTTTTATATTTGTCAGCAGAGCAAATTAGTTTTAAAATATCGGGTCTAGTTTTCAAGTAGGAATGGAGCTGATTACATTGTTTGTTGATGTTAGTCTTAGTAATTAAAATAGCTTTTAAAACTGTCACACTTAACTGCGTTTTTTCACTTGTCCATATTTTATTCATTAGGGAAAAAACTCTTTCGACAGGTGCGTTACTTCCAGGCATACATAAAACATACTCAATAATTGTGCGAAAGTTTGTGCAGTTGAGATTATTGGCACGGAAGTGTTTAAACAGCTCCACCCAACGGTCTTCAGTAGCAACACTCTCATCGTTCCAGCTTTTGATTTTTTCAACTGTGACGTAACTGGAAATAAGCGAAAACTCATCGAACACCTCCGTATCTTGGCTACTGCTAAGAAATCTTTGTGTGATCAGCAAATCCGTCACATTCTGTACGTCTTCCCAAGTAGGGACTTTTCTCAAATTTGACCATTCAAATACTGCTAGTTGTGCATTGAACTGGCACCGCTGTTCCAAGTATTCTTTACTTGTCTTATAAAAATCCGCTGCCGCAGTTTTCACATTCTGCTCATCAACAGCAACGTCAGTTTTTTGTAATTTTACCAGTAGATTGCGGACGGAATGAGGAAGGAAAATCGAATTCTCTTTAAGTTCTAAGTTATCTCGGAGACGATTAATTTCATTCGCAGACTCTCAACACGGCTGGGATTTTCGAAAAACGTTTTTAAAATAGTAGGGCAATTATCTATGCTCAGAAAATAGGTTTTCAAAGGCTGAGACATTTTTAAAATTCTCTCAAGCGCCGGCATTAAAGCAAGCCACCTTGTTTTACTGTAGCCCAACCGTTTCTGATACTCTGTGTCGGTGGAATCACAGAACTCTTTCGGGAACTTCTACCCGAATGCTGTAGATGTAGAAGAATGAATAAATTTTCACAATGATGCATTCGAAGTCAACAGGGAGACAATCTGCGGCTGTTTTGATAGCATTATGAATTATATGGGCTCCACACCCAATCCCAATGAGCTGCCTTCCGACGGATAGGTTCAATTTCGCGTAAACATTATTTATCCCTTTTCTATTCTTTCCTCCGAAATTGCAGTTTGTATTGTCTGCACAAAATGCCACAATTTTCTTATTCAAATCATTGCAAGATAATACTTCTTTCAAATAATCCACAATTATATCAGATGATTCGCCTGGCTGCTTTTGAAACTCTAAAATCCTGACTCTCACGCCTTCGTATGGTACAAAATAGCGAACTAAAACAGGGAATAATTTTATTGAGCCATGATTGGAAGCATCGGTTAATAAAGATATGCAGTGGGCTTCGTGAAGGTGTTCTTTTAATTCGTCCATCGCCATAGGTGCCAGCACATTTACAACTATAGCTTGTGATTTTGTACGGGCACATCTAAATTTTTGCTCAAAACATGTTTGTATTAGATTTGAGGCACAGTCATTCGAACGAAAACTGTGGTTTTCTTGCACTGTGTGGTACGCCCACGCACCCTGCGCTGCAGCTATATCCAAGTCTTTGGAAGTCGCCAAATTTGTTCTTTTAAAAAAAGAAAGCATTGACGAGCTTGAAGCGGCAGCTTGATCAGAAAGCTTGTGTTTTTCCGATTTTAAATGCTTCTCAATATCACTGGCACCACCATGTCCAACACTAAAATCAGTACGACATTTTTCACACGTAACGTCTGATTCACCACTTCTTTGTTTTATAAATGGATACTTATTTTGCAAAGAAATGTTAAAAGTACACTTGCGTTTAGGCATTATTGTAATGTTACAATCACTAACATTGAAAATAAATTGTTTGACTTTGCTCGCCTTCTCCGACTCCGCGATGAAAAGATACCAGAACAATTTAGAGCGTCTATGCTTAGGGTACTGACAGAGTGACAGAAACTTTTTCTGTTTTTATAAGCATTTTTAATTTGGTGATTTCCCTTGTTATGCTGGAGTTAATGTCAACGCCGTCGACGACGCCGGCGTTAAGATTAACTGCTCTCATAAAATTTCATACGATTCAATTTTTTTGACATTTGACGCCGTCGACATTAACTCCAGCATTAGCATTACAAAATCTTTCGAGTTAATTTTAATGTTAATGTTGCTTGAAAAAAACTATGCAAATAAATTATATGTTCACGGGGAAAAAATAACTCATGTATTTTTCATCAATATCCAGTATTTTCGAAAGCGGGACATTTTTGCTCTCGCTGGGGACAGCGGGACTGTCCCGCCCAAAGCGGGACGTATGGTCACGTTACGTATACCCCCCATATAACGGAACCCCGATATTCAGTATTTTGTTGATTTCAGCCAAATTGTCTTAAAATACAAACAAGGTGTTCCTTCTGAGTACTTTACCCCCTAGAAGAGGATTATCTCAATATTTTTACGTTTTAGTATAGTGAAGCCACAACTTTCCTCAATTTGCTCTTCTCCACTCATTTATTCAAATTAAAAAAAAAACCAGTAAAGAAAGCCTTCAAGTCGGGCGGGGCCGACTTTATGATACCCTACACCACTTTGCTAATTAAGTAGAGCTCCACATAACAATTAAAAATTTTTATGGGAGAATTCAATCATACACGCTATGATTATAATTATAATTTAAAGTTCAAAGGACTAAATATGCCGAAGCATTTGTATCTTTTAAATTCGGAATTTTATTGCCCATTTGATGCACAATTAATTTGAAATCGGATAAAGATATATATGGGAGCTATATCCAAATCTGAACCGATCTCGATAAAATTTGGCAAAGATGTTTCTGAGCTGTATTTTATATATTTTCCTGAATATAGTTGTTACGGAGTGCATATTACGGTTGTGGGTAACAAATATAACAAATCGGATGAATAATATATATGGAAGCTATAGCTATATCTGAACCGATCTTTACCAAATTTGACATACTAGCTTCTAGACTTAATTCGGTCGTAAGTGCCAAATTCCATCCCATTTGGACAAATATTAGTGCACAATAAAAGGTAAATCGGACGAAGTTATATATGGGAGCTATATCCAAATCTGAACCGATCTCGATAAAATTTAGCAAATGTATTTCTGAGCTGTATTTGATACATTTCCCCAAATATTGTTGTTGCATAGTGCATATTACGGTGGCGGTGGACAAAAAAAAAATCGGATGAACAATATATATGGGAGCTATAGCTATATCTGAACCGATTTTGATCAAATTTGGCATACATATTTTCAGGCCTAATTTGGGTGTATATGCCAAATTCCATACAATTCGGACTGATATTACACGTTTGGTGCACAATAAAAGGCAAATCGGACGAAGATATATATGGGAGCTATATCTAAATTTTGACCGATTATCTCCAATTTCAATAGGGTTCGTCCTTGGGCCAAACAAAAGATCTTTGCAAAATTTCATCTGGATCGGGCAATAAATGCGACCTGTACTTTGCTTACAAAAATACATGGACAGACGGACAGACGGACGGACGGACGGACATGCATAAATCGACTCAGAATGTGATTCTATGCAGATCATCAAAAGGAACTATGGGTCTATCTCGTTTCCTTCTGCCTGCTACAAACAAATGCACAAAGACATAATACCCTGACCACCTTGTGGTGTAGGGTATAAAAAAAAAAACATTACAAAATGTACGATTCAGATTTTACTGTTCCAAGTTTAAAATAGCTAACTTCAAACAACTCCGACGAAAAATGTGGCCAGAATACTGAAATACCAAATATCTGGAAGGGTCGTTAAATGCTATAAGACAGTGTTCTACTTAAATCTATATAGACAGTGAGTAGGAGTCACCATATTATCCATATTATGGTAGATGATATATAAAATATAAAAACACATAAAATTTACTTATGTATTTAACATTTACAATGTGATTTATACATCACACTTTGCATGGGACTTCATAATGATAATTTTTTAGCTATTATCTTTATGACAACACTCGTTTAAACGGCTCACGTACGTTTAGTGTTTTGTTTCATTGTCCAACATCTTCAGTTTGGTCTATAATTTAACCATAAAACGAACAACGTTTGCATTCATTAATTTTTATTATCAAAATGCGTGTTACGAAAGTTCATTTCGCGCTCGTTTTTATGGTCAGCTCATTTTTGGTTTAATAGGTATGCAAATAAGCAGATTTGTCGATTTTGGAGTGAAGATCAGACAGAAGCAAAGCTATCAATGCAACCAGAAAATAATTATACTTATAATCGTACTGATATATTTAAATATCATTACTTGTTATGATAATCATTTATATCACTCTTTAGCAATTTAAGTTTGATTTATAAATAGTTCTTGGGGAAAACCTAATAAAATGGCCATTTAATATTGAAATTCTGAGGCGTGAACACAACAGAGGGCTGCAATGAGTTTGATTGAGTAGGCTTGATCACACACAGTAGAAATACAATCAAACTCAATCAGTCGGTCAGATTTAACATGTTTATTCGAGTTGCTCAAGCCAAACGAAAAAGTTGTGATCAAACATGTATTGATCGAAGTGTTGTGTTCGCAATCAAACAGCTCCCATGATTTATTTGTTTACGAACTTATGTTGAATTGTTCATAACGGGTCGAACGAGAGGGCTGCAATGAGTTTGATTGAGTAGGCTTGATCACACACAGTAGAAATACAATCAAACTCAATCAGTCGGTCAGATTTAACATGTTTATTCGAGTTGCTCAAGCCAAACGAAAAAGTTGTGATCAAACATGTATTGATCGAAGTGTTGTGTTCGCAATCAAACAGCTCCCATGATTTATTTGTTTACGAACTTATGTTGAATTGTTCATAACGGGTCGATCATCTATGAGTCTTGTTGGTTTGATTCATCCCAGTTAAGTGAGTGATTTGATTAAAACACAAATGTTCGAATCTGGGCGAAATCATGATTTTAATTTTACAAAGGATTTCATAACTAAAAGCTGTCCCCATTAAAAAATCGGTGCAAATTATATTTAATAAACAGACAATTTTTTCATTTTATTTGGGTTTTTGGTATGTTAGACTTCAGTGACTTATTTCTAAAAAACAATATTAATATTTTTAATACCGAAACACATCATTGGTATTTAGTAAACAAAAATGTTTAAATATTTTTTTATTTTAAAATATTTATCAAGATTTTTCCCAAACTTCGAGCTTTTCTTTTACCTACACGTGTGTAGTTTCTACTTGCAACAATTTCGGTCGCACTATCACAACATTCTTCCATTTCAAATATTATATATGTAAGTCAAAATAAACTGTCCCAACTTGATTGAATGGTTAAATAAACAATGACGCTGAGCGAACTCGATTCAAAGAAAACAATCACAGTTGTGATTGCTCATTTAAATTCATGTGTTCGATCAACTCATGTTGCTGAACACATCAAACCGTCTCGAACACTCATATTTGATTGTGAGTGAAGTGATTCAAACTGAGCGTTCGATTTGATCCGATGCGAAAACGGTCATTTCATTCAGATCAAACTAAACGACTGCATCAACAAAAATCGTGTAAGAAATCAAGTGTGGTTGAATTTTTGCATACTCGTTGCAGCCCTCTGGTACACAAACATTAACAAAAAATTAAAAATATCACAAAAAACAATGTGCATTAACATATATTATTTCTACTTACCTGACAGCTGGTACTTCCAGAATGTCCCATTCCACAGACATGTAAAATTCCGACAAATCTACTCCAACATCTACCACATTGCTGCCTAGTTGTTCATCCATATGCCTTAGGTCAACCTTGTTTTAAAAACGATTTATAGAAATATGTTAATGATACGAGGAAGCATTATGTACATCTTCTACGTGTTATTTACATTGACAGTGCCAGTTTAAAGATAGATATATTACTACGATGCTATAAATATATTGTGTGTAAACTTAAGTTGACTACTAATTATGTTTGTAAAAAGAAAAAACAAATTAAAACAGGTATATATCTGCAGCAATTAAAATTATTCATAGTTACAAACTTAAAATGGTTAAAATCACAGCATACCAAATGTCTGGAGTTTTGGATGTGAGAGGGCTACGTCCAAAGGAGCATTTGATATGTCAATTTTCTCTCATAGGTGGAGGTATAAATTACAATCTCCAAATATCAAAATTGAGACAATTTGGTTGAAAAATAATGTGGTTAATATCACCGAAATATCACAAAAACAATGTGGTAAAAATCCCAGCATACCTGGTGGTGGTACAAATTACAACAATTTGGTTGAAAATACAGAATATCGGAAGGTATCGTTATATGGGGGCTATAGGGAAACATGCACCTACATATTAACTTTTCTGCTAAAGAATGTAGTGTCCATTAAGAACTTTAATCACCAAACTTCAAACAATTATGTTCGAAAAAGTTGAAAAAGTGATCAAAATAACGCATTTTGGGAGGTACCGTTATGTAGTGGCTGTACAAAAACGTGAACCCATACACCTCATTCTCAATACCAATCATTCTAGGTCAGTGGTTCCCAAAAGTTTGATGGCCTGAGACCCATCCAACAGAAATTGAGACTCACCTATTGGCTGCTTGAAATATAACACATAAATATTAGTAAAGCATACATATTTTTTTATTTAATACAGAAATAGAGTACAACCAATTTATTCCTATTTCTTGTCATTAGAGAGTTGTTATAAATTTCAATATTAGTAACTTTTAGTTGCAGTGCAGTGCAGCAATGAGACAATAAGGGTTTTAAGTGTTTCAAAAAAATCACAACGGGTTTAACACAACTCTCTCACAAAAGTAGGTTTTTATGAACGGATGAAAGAAAATTTTTGAAAACACCATATATTGTTTCCATAGTTTAATTATTTCATATAAGAAAACGCATATAAAAAATAAACACATTTTAGAAACATGTTTGACACATTAAACAGCAAACAGTAAAACTATATTGTCAAATTTCAAAACACTAGGTCAAACAATGTGAGCTGTATCTTGCTTTAAACAGACGGACAGATTTAAATCGTTAATTATTAGAAGTAACCACTTTGAATTTTATGCTGATCACGAATTAACTAAGGCATGATTTTAGTGTATGCTACCAGAAAGTTTTGTGTTGTAGTATTGAATTCTAACTTGCTCCTATGTTCATAGTTTAGGTTTTGGTTTTTATGCCCTCCACTAAGGGGGGTATAGTAACTTTGGCATTCGCTCTGTAACTCCTCAAAGTACTTCGTCTGTCTGTTTTAATCACGTTATTTAGAATGGATAGAGATAGAAGGCTAAAATTTGCACATATGTGTATTTTCTCAGTAGGCAGGTTAAATTCGTACATAACTTTACTTTTCGATATTCGGTATTTTGACAATTTTAGTCACATTTTCTAACAGAAGTGAATATTATATATTCGGTATATAGAGTTTGTAATGGGTTTTATTCTTTCTATCAGATCATTTGTATTTGAATTGATAAAAATCGGTACTTAGAGTTTGAAATGGAACATTATCAGGGGTTTTAAAGTAATATCGTAGTATTTCGAGTGCTGTTCAAGCGTAAACACAACCATATTCGATCACCGCAAGGATAAAACTAATTATCTTTCAAATGGTACATGAGCTACTGTTACCACTCACCAAATAAGCACTACTTAAAAAGCATTAGATTGCGGGTCCTATATGTTTTTATCAAAATAACATCTACGGAGATATGTTTTAGGTCAGCAGGATTTTTGGTATTAAAAATTGTTTATATAGGGCCACGTTTTTGTATAGCCCTCATATAACAATTTTTGTCCGTTTTTTATAGTTTGTGTTCTCGGTATATAGAAAATTTTATTGCATATATATAGGTCCAAGTTGTGGTATAGTCCCCACATAATTTTAATTCCAGATATTAAATGTTGATGTGTAGTACTTCCGATGATAAACATTTTTCTTTAAAGCTCCACGCAATCGTATAGGCTCCATATAACGGTACCTCCCTACATTTTTTTTGATTCTTTTAGCTACATTTTTAAATGGAATTATGTCAAATTTGGCATATAACTGTCTAAAGAGGTCCACATTTTCGTGTAGCTCCCTCCCTATATTCGCTAGTTGTATGATTTTTGTTAGACTTTTCAACAGAATTGGTTCAAATTCAGAATTTTAAGTTTGCATTGGGTACTACTTCCTATGACAGAAAGTTGGCAGATCCACGACAGATCTCAGATCCTCCCAATATGCGGTATTTTGTTAATTGTAGCTAGATTTCAACAGAAATATCTCAAGCTTGGTGTTTTGAGTTCCTAATAGTTAAAGCCCCGATATAACTGTACCGGCAGAATTATGTTTTTTTCGGTCTAAAATGAAGGCTTACATTTTAGACCGAATTTTCTAAAAATTGGCAGTTTGTGTTCCCTTTTTTTAGGAAACATCTCTAAATGAAATTTTCTATATAGTTTTGATATAGTCCCCACATAACTTTACCTCCAGATATTCTGTATTTTCTTTTAACCGGAATTATTTAAAACCTGATGTCATGAGTTCATAATAGGCACCATCTTCTCTGACTGATAGTTGGATGTAGAAGTCTAGTTTTTCGTATATCCCCAAATAATTGTAGCTCAAGGCATTATAAAAATTTTAAAATTACAGCTGTATTTTTAAACTTATTTAATTTACATTTTGCACTTTCCGCCCGGCCGAACATAGCTGCTTGTTTACTTGTATGTTTTGTGGTTGGTATTTATGTTTGTTTAAATCTAAAGATTGACATTTAGTGACTTGATTCTTCAGTAATAATCTATCATTTTGAAAATTGAAGCACATATTTAGACATTTAGTTTTATACCCTCCACCATACTATGGAGGGTATATTCATTTTGTCATTCCGCTTGTAACTCATCGAATCGCGGACCTGCACATACAATTTTCTGTCATAGGCTGTAGTATACATTAGGAACTTCAAACACCAAATTTGAAACAATTCCGGTGAATAGTGTCGCTAAAATCATCAAAGTACCGAATATCGGGATATTTTAAGATTTTGGCAAAATTTTTAACGGATTTTATTTGTTTTGAAAATTGCCAAATTCGTTCCATATGGTGTTGGTATCCAAAGTCCGGCCCGGCCGAACTTACGGCTTTTTACTTGTTTTTTTATAAAGTTTATGTTGGCGATCGTTGTTTTTGGTTTTTGCATTCACAGCTTATAATACGCAATAATGAAATAATAATATCTCTGTCGACGATGAATGTTAAAGAAATGTAGAAAAATGATGGCAATTCACTATAAACTCAAAAAAATGCCTTTATAATTGATGATGTCGTTGTTGTTACTGCCAATCTGTTGGAGTTCATTTTACGAATTTCACCCACAAAAACTGCTGATCTTTGTAATTTACCTTTTGGAGCGAAAAAGCTGTAAGTTCGGCAGGGCCGAACTTTGAATACCCTCTACCGTTTGGAACGATTTTGGCAATTTTCAAAATAAATAAAATCTATTAAAAATTCTGTTAAGATCTTAAAAATACCGCATGTACCGTTATATTAGGGTCCATATGACGACGTGGACCTACATCATCAAATTACCAAATGTCGGGAAGTATCGTTATATGGGGGCTATACGCTGACGTGGACCTGCACAGAGAATATTCTGTCATAGTCTGTAGCATACATTATGAACTTCAAATACCAATTTTGAAACAATTCCGTTGAATAATGTCGGTAAAATCATCAAAATACCGAATATCGGGAGGTACCGTTATATGGGGGCTATACTAAGGCGTGGACCTGCACAGACAATCTTCTGTCAAAGGCTGTAGTATGCACTACGAATTTCAAATACCGAAATTTGAAACAATTCCGGTGAATAATGTCGCTAAAATCATCAAAATACCGAATATCGTGAGGTACCGTTATATGGGGGCTATACCAAAACGTGGACCTACGTGACCCATTTTCAACACCAAAATTATGCGTAGACAATTTTCTGTCACAGACTGTAGTTCCCATTACGAACTTCAAATACAAAACTTGAAACTATTCCGTTGAATAATGACGCTAAAATCACCAAAATACCGAATCTTGGGAGGTACCGTTATATGGGGGCTATACGAAGACGTGGACCTGCACAGACAATTTTTTGTCATAATCTGTAGTATCCATTACAAATCTCAAATACCAAATTTGAAACAATTCCGGTGAATAATGTCGCTAAAATAAACAAAATACCGAATATGGGGAGGTACCGTTATATGGGGGCTATACGAAGACGTGGACCTGCACAGACAATTTTCTGTCTTAGATTGCAGTATCCATTTCGAACTTCAAATACCAAATTTGAAAGAATACCGGAGAATAATGTCGCTAAAATCATCAAAATACCGAATATCGGGAGGTATCGTTGTATGGGGGCTATACGAAGACGTGGACCTGCACAGATAATTTTCTGTCATAGGCTGTAGTATCCATTTCGAACTTCAAATACCAAAGTTGAAAAAATTCCGGTGAATAATGTCGCTAAAATCATCAAAATACCGAATATTGGGAGGTACTTATATATGGAAGCTATATGAAAACGTGGACCTACATGGCCCATTTACGAACTTAACCTGCCTACTGGAAAAATAAACACGTGTGCAAAATTTTAGCCTTCTATCTCAATTCGTTCAAAAGATTACAACAGACAGACGGACAGACGGACAGACAGACAGACATACAGACAGACGGACATGGCTAAATCGACTTAGAATTTTACTCTGATTAAGAATATATATATATACTTTGTTGGGCCTGACATGAGTATT